ACACCCTTCTTCAGTAGCAGCAGCAGCGGGTCCAGGATTTGCATCTGGCTTTCCTTCGTTCTCTGTAGGCCTTCCGAACCGTCCAGCAGTAGGTGTACCAGGGGCGGGAGCAGTGGGAGCTGGAGTAGGCGGCTGGCTTCCAGCTAGTAACCGGCCGTCTAGGAGTGCATTGGCCGCAGGTCTAACTGTCCATACGCCTGAGGCAGGCGACGTAACAACAGCACCGCCTGTGTCGGACACAAGCGTTCCAGTGGGCTTTTATTCGAGTGCCAACGGGGTATACAAGGTCCCCCGTTTCCCGTCGAGCGTTAATTCAGTGAGCGAGCCGAGCGAGGAAGCCATAAGAAGTTGCATCTTGCGAGTGCCTGCTTCGAAGATGACGAACGGATTCAGCGATACCTTGAAGTCTGGGGGCGTCAACATCATGGGCAATGCTTCTGCCCAGCTGTTGCGCATCATTGCCACCAGCTCGCCACGTTACACCTCAAAGTTGAGTGCGCCGGTGGTGTTGTTCCAGCGAGCTATGGGAACTCGGATCAGCTACGAGATGAAGGTGGCTGTGCCACGAGGGTGCGTGTTGCTCCCTTCCGACCCCAGTTTGGTGGGCTTCATAAGGAGAGATGGTAATTATGTGGTGGAGGCTGCCGTAAGACTATTGCCAGATATTCTGGCGGAGTACACCTCGTCTGTGGCTGCAGTGCCAGCGGACCTCGTGGCATTTGCTGCCGCTCTGCCGCCCGACTCGAACTTCCAGCCGGCAGGACACTGCGTGTTCGTGGCCCACTTCACCACCACACCCGAGAACATACGACTCGCAGCGTCTTATACGCAAGTGAGAGTGGAAGGAGACACTGCGATGGGTACTGAGACGCTGCAGCTTGAGATCCCTCTCATGTGCCTGCCGCAGTCGCTACACCGCACTGCCATGTGGGCTACGAAACTCCACAACGGAACGGCAGTGATCGTCGCCTTCAGCCCCCCACCAAAGCCCGAACCCGAGTGGTTCGTCGTACGTACCTCGGGTGACGAAGCTGCGTTGCAGCGGTTGGTGGGAGTACGGCCCTGAAGGAGCGGAGATGCTTGTTCTTTCGTGCTACAGAAACAATTCAGGTTGATAAGGAGTTAAGGAGTTCGGCAGAGGACAGCGGGATGCTACGTTGAACGTAGCTGAAAGCGCTGGACGGAAGTGGCCAGTACTTGTGGGGTTGGTGTGTATGCAAATATGGCCACCTTCGTGGTTCCAGTGATCTGGCTGTTTTGCCGACGAAAGTCAGGGTATATTCTGGAGAAATCGGCAGTGGTTACATTTTGGGAATGCGTTGGGACAGGTTCAACGCGCAAACGGGTGAACACGTAAACATCATCTGGAGCGCGCTAGCTTGCCTAAAGGACACCTCCCCATTTTTGTATCTCTATCGGCATCTTTGCGTTCGCTTCTAGTCATGGCTTACGTGCTCTCCCTACTTGGAGCTAAGGAATTCCGGGAGGCAGCTGCCTATTCAAATGCAGACACGTTTCCATACATCGTTCTAAAGGACACNGCGTACGTGCGCTGGCATATCTGTATGCCGCTGTGGATTACATGGACGTCAAGCGCGGACTACCACTGGAGTACATGAAAGGTTGGGTTTCGTATGCACACACAACTGTGGGCGTATGCGGTATAATGCATATGTGCTTTGCGACAGCTCGCAGCACGCTTCTGCCTTTCCCGTTTTTTTCTCAACATCAGAGGGCTTTGCATGAATTCTTTGGGTAGGAGGAAGCTCTTCGATTGTTGGTCGTGGGGGGAAATTGCCTCGCCCAAGACTGTGGTGGGGCTGACTGAGTTTGTTGCCATTTTGTGAATAAGAATTATTTAGAGCGTAGTGAAGAACTTTCGTAAAGAACCGGTGAATATATGAAGTTTTAGGGGGCAGAGCAGCACTCCTAATTAGAAGACTTGAGTAGAGTTGCTTACATGGGAGACGCAGACACAGCTAGGTCCGTATACTTGCGTACTGAGCGTTCATACTAATTGGAGTGCTCATGTTACTTCTGACTCTCGACTCACGCTGTCAGCATAGTATGTGTATATACGCTTCCGCAACTCTCACGGACAATCTGTTCCCGATGCCTGTAACGCGCTCGCTAGACGGAAAAGGGGGCTGCAATAGGTAGTCTAGAACCGCATTGTAGCTTAGTCTCTCTCGGGTTGATGTTACACGGTTGACCAGCAAATGTAGGCGACTGGCTTGCCGTTTGCTAGCCCATTTCGCGTTACCTGCAGGGAACGACGATGTAGTAATTTAAGTGTTTGAAATTTGCTGTACTGTTGAGCCGCAGCTGATCGTTGCAGAGTAACGCAGCGCACACAAATGCGACGCAACTCTTAGAAAAGGCTGCATCCGCGTTCCGGCCAGCAAATCTGACAAATAACTTCCAGATGTTATATTCCTGACATTTCATAGCGCCTTCAATGTGCCCTGGCTACGCAGTTTATGTCCCGCTATATGCCTCTGAAGCTGTGTTGATGGTTTGTGCCAATATACTACGTACTATGTCTTGGCCACAATAAGTAGCAGTAAATGTTTGCTTCAACCGCTCGCAACTGACCGCTTAGTTGAATCCTTCGGCTCTATCTAGCTTCAGCTTGATGAGCAAGCCCCCCTTTTGGAAGGTTTTGTCACCTGGGTGTCTTGCTCCACAACATCGCCCTTGGCGCCATGGTTAGAAGTTTTTCCAAGAAAAGCGCAGTAATCGTACAATAACAAAGCTACCGCTAAGGTAACGGTTCAACTTTTCCAGGCGTTTTCCTGCGTCGGGATGGCGGCGGGCGCAGCCCCCCAGCCGATGGATGAGCAGACAAGGCTAACGGCTTGGTTCATCTGCCCGGTTATCCTATGAGATATAATCCGCTAACGACTAAATATTCGAGTTCGAGGGATTATGGAGCACAGAGAACTACTGTTCTACCCATCAGCGAAGTTACACGACCGCTCAACGACCTCAGCCTCTCAGCTCCCTGCGACCTGCAGTGATGGCTGCATGCTGGTTTGTACGCTTCTTCTATTCCTCCTTAATGGCTTAACGCTTCCTCAGAAATTCCCTGCGAGAGAATCCTCAGCAGGGTCTGTTGTGAGCCGCCGCGTCCTGCCGATGTGCTGTGAAACCATACAGCGTTTTCTTCGACATTGAGCTGAAGGTGGAGAATACTGCTTGTCTCGCCCTCCTACCTAGTTGAACGGAGATAGAGAGGGCATAGAACAAGGAACGTTGGACTCATACTTTCTTTTGACTCTCCGATGCCCGCGAACAATGGAGGGGGGCCCGTCCCGGGGCATGAGGAGGCAGAGGCAAGAAACCACAGAGACAATGTCGATGTTTCCAGCCCTTACAACAGAAACAACAACAGCAGCAGCAACCGTGCTGAAGATCTGGAAACCGTGCAAGGCAGCCCGCGAGTTGGGTTCGGTAGCTGTGCCAGCGAGCCTCAACTGTGGCGTTCGTTGAACGGGCAAAAGCCGCAGCAGAAGGAGGAAGATGGCAAGCAGCAGCGCCCGGAGCCAGAGTCTGATACGAATCCGCGCCAGAGGCGGCGAAGCAGCAGCTGCCACTCTACCCGACAAGAGGCAACGGCAGCAAATGTTGTGTTAAGGGAGGCTTGTTCGAGTGATGCTCCTCTAGTGCGGGATTTGATGAAGTCTCACCTGCGGTCCTTGATTCTTCCTGCAGTTTTCTACTGGTTGTGTCGGCATGCGCAGGATTTCGGGAGCTTCTTAGTTATTTGCTGCTGCTTTGTGCCTTTCGACAGAATGCTCATGAGTCTCTGCTGCTTTCTTTTGCTGCTTCTTGCTCGTGTTATTCTCGAATTGGAACAGTACGCCTCAAGGGGTTGCCCCGACCTCGCAGAGTTCGATCGCCATTATCTGCAGGCGGAGCGCAACAGATTCTGGGTGGCAGAGGTGAGGATCCACTGTGCGGATGCGCCACCCAACGCTCCGTCTGGTAGCCATTTTGTTCTCGTCCGACTCTGTGTTAAATTAATCTCTTAGTCATTTTTTCATGCGTAGTGGCTTACCTGCCTTCCGGCTAAATGGACGTGCCGCTGTTGTATGAGCTCTCAACTGCTCTTACACAGGGAGGCGTGAAAGGCGAAATTGGGAGCCAGCATATACTTCGTTTTCCCTTCGCTGATCGAAATTGAATGTAGCTGCTTTTTTGCGCGTGCATGCATTCATAGGGATATTCCTTAATTAGAATGTGTTGCTGCATCTGCATTTTGGACACGTTAAGTGCATATTTAGGTGTTCGTGTCCTTTGTTGCTTTTCGNGTGTTGCTGCATCTGCATTTTGGACACGTTAAGTGCATATTTAGGTGTTCGTGTCCTTTGTTGCTTTTCGTTGCAGCAGAAGCAACCTACTGGTAGTCGAGTCGTCGGCTGTATCGGCTTTATCATTCATCCTTCTAGTCCGCAGGAGGGCCAGCTGGTAAGGCATATTCACAAGTCAGACGACATAATATGTTAACCAGACACACGGAGGTGAATAGAGTGATGTGAAGGTACAGACAAGCAGAGCTGCATAGAGAGAAACACAAGGACAGAAGAAGCCCTAGATAAACCCGAAGAAGGAAGGGAAAGTTGACAGAAAACGGTGCTCGGAGACAGGGAGCTTTACACATTGATGTAGTTGGAGTTGGTTAGCCTGACTACAAAGTCGTATCAGAGGTTTCGGCCAGCATCAGCGGCTCTACTTTATCCGGCTCTTTTCGCTTGCATGAAAACCTTACATTTGCTCGGAAATGTTCATTTGAGTGGATAGAAAGGCTCCGGAATGCAGGTTGTAGCGAAACAGCGTCAACTCACTCATGTCTGGTGGCGGCAAAGTGTACTTGAAATAAGCGTTTTGTCTCCATCCCCCCTTATGTGCCTCGGGTTCCATCTGGCTGCTTTGAAGCACTCAAGCTTCCATGTGCACACATTTTTTCCTTCAGGTCCGTCTTGTCGTGTCTCCTGGATCGCGGGGCGCCGGTGTAGGCACGCGACTGTTATCCTGTGCNTTCAGGTCCGTCTTGTCGTGTCTCCTGGATCGCGGGGCGCCGGTGTAGGCACGCGACTGTTATCCTGTGCTGTGGGCTTTGCCGCGAGCTGTCGATGTCGTTCTATTGAAGTTTTTGCGAATTCGCTAAACGCCAGCAGCGCCAGCTTCTTCAGAAATAGGCATTTTGAGCTCGTCCAGGTTGTTAGGAGGAAGCTCATGCGGGGTAGGTCTGGAATTCGATAGTTGCCTGCTTATTGGCACGTTGGTACAGCTTCCTGGCTGGGTCTTCGTGCATATTGTTGTTTGTCGTTGTGTACTCTCTTCTGTATGCCCATTTATTCCCCTGTGCTATATTTTTTCATTCTCCACCTGTGCGGGTCATATATATACGAAGCAGCGCCACTCTTTATTGTTATACTTAAGGGGTTGTTTACTGTTTCATTTCACTTTTTTCTCGGACAAGTTCAGATGCGACGCGACGTAGCTGATGCAATGGACATGAGGCTCTGATGGCACTCATTCATATTTCCATCATGTGCTTAAGGTGCCTTTGTTTAAGTTGTGAAATTGCGCGTTTTGGGGCGCAATATTTTGCCATGTACGGAAGGTGTTCCCGTTTTTGTGTTGCGTCCATCAGGTGACCTGCTGCGGTGGAGGATGGCCCTCGACGGTCAAGGCCGACCAGTAGAACCGAAGGGAGACCCGGTTTCCAGTGTTAGTGGCCTACATTCTGAGTAGCACCGTTTTTAGTGTGCCTATGCACAACACCGGTGTACGAGTCAGCACGCCGAAGGCGAGGCGTGGAGCACAGCAGAGAAAGTCAAGACGGCCTAGCCTGCCTGCGATTATAATCGGTAGCTGCCAGCGTCTTGATAAAGGCTCCGCTGGACCTGGCACTCCCGCATGACCTTCAAGTGAGCAACTGCAGGAGCTGCTGTAACGACAATTGCTGGTTCTACTGCATTCCTAGAACCTGGGGCTCATTAGCTCTCCTGGGGCGTGGAGGAAGCATTTGTTAGTTTCGTGAAGCGGTTGACCCTGACGCTGTGGCCTTTTAGGAAAATCCGCCCACGCCGCCCGAGATGGGCTGTGTGGTGAGAGCCAGCCGTAGAGGATCACTCACCAAGCCCCTAAGTACAGACAGGGGGCCGAAGGTTTATGCGGCAGCTGCTTCCCGTACGATGTGTAAGAAATGAAAAAATAACACCCTGTTTCATTTTATTCAGTTGATAACAACAGAGGTGAGCGGCTTCTCCAGAGCCGCAGGAACGTGATAAGACCATGTGGTAAGTGGGCGTAGCTATGGTAAACCCCTACACATAAACGGGCAATAGAGATGAAGCCTGCGCCTTTGTATACAAACTCCACGTGTAAGATAAATGCTTGTGTACAGCAGCGCGCGCGAATGTGTTTATTCAGTTTTGACCGACCCTGACGGTCATGTTTCTGGGTGCATGCGCACAGCGTTGTGCATTACTTGCTAACTTCTCTCAGTGTGTTGGTGCAACAGCAGTGAAACCAGGCCCTTGTAATTGGCGGAAGCTACTTTGCGCAATATGGCGCTTGCGTTAACTGCAATTCCTGCGTATGCATATTTTTTTTTGAGAATGCACGAGGATTACAGGCGAGCTTCGCTAACGAATGGGGTTGTATATATCTCCCACTGAAAGGATGTGAAATAGCAAACTAAAGCATAGGCAGCTCATTAGAAGTCTTAATTTCCAGGTCGAATGAATTCTATTGGGTTATTTTGGCCATCACCCTTGAATTGGAGTTTGCCTGCCCCCGTCAGGCAGATGTAGATAAACGATACACCACGACTAGCTGGAGCTGGATGAATACAAATACAAGGAAATACAAATACAACGGGCACTGCAGAACATGTGCCTCTGTGCAATAGGTGGCATTCGAACTCGGTGGTTTTGCCCATTTGTTCTACTGGTTTTTTCCTTGCCAAGCCTTTCCCACTACGATTTGCCAACGGCAGAAAGGGAACGAGGACTGTTGTAACTCTATGGGCATAAAATGCATTGNGGTGGGTCGAACTTACCGTGTCACTATCGTAATTTGCAGGACATAGCGGCGCATGCGGATACACCCCGCGAAAGGAACTATTAAGCTCTACATTGTGGGATACAGTGTTGGAGAGCATTTCCGAAAGTGTCCAGCACCCTTTTCATGTCCCCCGGCAAAAAGAGATGGAAATGGCGCAATTCCTTTCGTCTTTAAGAAAGAAGTGATGAGATTCTAACGCAGCGCAGATAGGCCTCCATGAACGGCGGGACAAGACAAGCAGTCCCTCGTGGTCTTTCAAATATCGCGCCGTAAAAAAATTCTGTTCAGTAAACAACAGAGTAACCGCGAAAACCAGTGCAGTTGAAGGAATATTCCCCAGTCAAACTGTGTAACAATGGGCTCCTAGTGAGCCAGCCTCATGGGGAGAGTTGCGAAGTGCATTGGAGTGACAGGGCAAAATATGAGAGTTCCCCAATGCTAGCTTCACCCCTCTGCAGCCTCCAGGCGTCCCGCGCCAACCGGCACAAGGGCCAGATGTTGCTGCGAAGAGGGGATGCTCTTCCATGTGTTGCAACTCAGCTTGCTGGGACTCCTGCTGCAAGGCAGCCCCACATTCGAATAGGCCCAAGCTGTAGCGCGAGTCGTCTGCCGTAATCGACGGCCGTCACGAGCTGCAAGGAAGCAAACAGACCATAAGAGTAGCTGAAATCGCTCCTCTGTACCCAACCGTCCTGGGCGCAGCGGCTCAGGCCCTGGGTTACTGNTAGGCTGTTGTTGAGCATTTGTACTGGCAGACAGCCTAGGCTTGCTGAGTGTTCTCGTGCTAATTTCAGGCGCACAGTTTTACACAACCCACCTTTTAAAGCATGCACTAACAATGCAGACAATTGCCCAATAAGTAGTTTGCCCTATGTAACCATACTCCATGAAAATAAACATGCATTGACCAGACTCAGCCAGGGCGTGCTACACTGCTGCACTCATCACACAAAACAAGAACCAAGGCATTTGCAAAACGTACAGCAGGTTGGAGAGCTCGTAGCTAAGTTATAGGCAAGCAACGTGGCTGATTTCTACAAAGGCTCAATTTGTGGCAACAAAACTTTCCCCTGGATTCGGGCTTCTTTTGCGGTAGTGTTGCCTCCACGAAAACCAACGCTTTGCACAAACGCACTGTCGCGGCAGCGTTGCATAGCAAATAATCTAGCCATAGGGGGATAAACGCCGTTAGTTCATGTCACATAAGCATGCATGTAAGCTGAGATATCAACATCTTCAACCAATCTATTTTCCCGTTCCTCAGGCATATCACATGCCTACCCAAGGAAATTTGGCTTCCAGTAGCCGCAACTGCCAGCCCCTCAGTCCCCCGGTTCTTCGGTCGACCCCATCCCTGAGCCTTTATGTTCAGTGTAACAGACTTGGTGATTGCGTGAATACTCATTTGATCAGTAATATTTTATATATTGGGGGCCAGGAGCCCGCTGATGCAGCTGACAGACACCGAAGGTTGGCTGCTACTGCCGCTGCTGGCTGCTCCCGCTGGCGCTCCCGCTGGCCAGCATGTTGAACTGTGCTGGTTGTTGCATCATTTATCCGGCTATTATTCCTTTTTGTGGGGCGTGTCGAACAGGAGGAGGGCACCCTTGAGGTCGTCTGTTGCAGCGCTCGAGACAGGAGCACGAGCCACGGCAGCCGCTGCAACCAGAGAGGCAGGAGCCGCTGCTGCCCCGAAGGGGGAATCCCCACATGGAAGGCGCAGTGGCGGCAGGGGNGACAGGAGCACGAGCCACGGCAGCCGCTGCAACCAGAGAGGCAGGAGCCGCTGCTGCCCCGAAGGGGTAATCCCCACATGGAAGGCGCAGTGGCGGCAGGGGTGGAAGGAGCTCTTTTGTGCGCCCATAGTTGCTGCCAGCACTAGCAGTGGCAGCTGCAACGGGGCCGGCATGGCTGCAGCAGCACATTTGCTGCTGCTGCAGCGAGGCGCGCGACACGTCTTGCGTTTCCGTGAAGGTTTTAGAACGACTTCTGTGACGTGCAGCACCTCGTATGCTCGGCAGTCCCTCCAGCAGTCCTGGCACACATGCTGGACAAGAACTGCTACGGCTCAAGTAGCAACAGCAGCCACCGCGGTGAAAACGACAGCAGGAACTCGTCGTACTTTCAGTCATGCACCAGCGTGGCAGCAGCGTGATTTGCAACAACAGCAATGGCACCGGCATCTGCCCCGTTTCGCTGCCACATTCTTCCATACATGCAGTGATACGCTGCTCATTAGCAGCAACAGCCAGCGGAGTGTAGGAGAACATGGAACTTACATACCCACTTCGCCAGGCAATGATGCTCACGAACGCTTACGACAGCAGAACATTTGGCTGTTGCAGCAGCAGCAGCAGCAGGAGCTGCAGCGCCGTCAGCTGCTCGAGGTGGTAGCTCGGCAACGCGAATTGCTGTGCCAGCAGCAACGACAGCACGGGCTGCCGGGGCTGTTGCATAAGACAGCAGAAGGCTTGTTGCGTTCAGCCGCCGAGCTTCCTGCCAACACCTTGGACAAATTGCTGCCACCCTTGCTGCGGCAACTGCATGCAGCAGCAGCAGCAACAACAGGTCAGAATCAACCAGCAGCACGCTCACTGCTGCAACGTCTCTCGCGCGACCTGCTTGCTCTCAGCAGTCGCAATAAGCAAGAAGGATCGCATGAAAAGGGAAACGGCGCCACAAGCGGCAGAAACCGGCAGCCCGATGGGAACACCAGCAAAGACAGCCGCAGTAGCACAAAGGAAGACAATGGCGATAGTAGCAGCAGCAGCAAGGGCAGCAATGGCAGCAGCACTAGCAACGATGGCGGAGGGGACAGCACCAGAGGTCCCCGGAGCTCTGGAAAGTCAGCAGGCTTTGGCACGAGGCGGGTGCCCCTTGGCTTCGAAGCTTTTTATCCCAAGGAGGCCTTGAAGCAGAGGGACAGCAGTAGCAGCAGCGGCACCGGTGGCGGCCGGCTACCATTTGTTCCTCCAACCGGCGGGGCCCTGCAGCATATGCTGCTGCGTATGTGCATTTGGCTGGGTATCTGGGTTTTTGCCTTGTCATTGTTGTCGAGGGCGGTGGAGCCTCAGCTTTCACTGCAGGTTGGTTCTAAGCACGTTTTGCATACTCAGGCGCACCATCAGTATGCAGCAGCAGCAGCAGTCGTACTGTGCATCTGAGTTGTTTGTGCGCCTACGCAGGAGTTCCTTAGCTCGTATGTTGCTCGAGGCTTGGTAGAGAAGGTCGTTGTTGTTGGGGATAGGGGCCGTTGCACTGCTGTCGTCAGAGCACCCCCGACACCAGAACAGTTGCAGGCAATGGAGCAGCAGCAGCATCAAATGATGCTGTACATGCAGCAGCAGCAGCAAATGCAACAACAGATGCAGCAAGTGATGACAATGCAGCAATACCAGCAACAGCAACAGCAGCAGCCTTACGACATGCAGCAGCAGCCTCAGCAGCAGCACCAGTTCTCGGTGACGCCGACACTACAGCAGCCCAAGTTGACGGACATGCTACCTAAGAAACAGATCGTCAGGTTCAAGACGGGCCTTACGCCCGAAAGCTTCATAGAAAAGATGGAGCACTTCCAGGTGGGTCGAAGCGCTACCCCTTAGCTTCACGCTCCTTTGGTCTNCAGAAAGTGTATTGGAGTTGTTTTCTTAAGGACCTTCTTGCTGCCGCTGCCGCTGTAATCCTGAGACTCGCTGCTGCGGCCTTTGCAATTTCTGCTGCTGTGGTTGGCAGGCATCGCTCGGAATACACCCCAAGGACTTTCTTCCTATTTACGTCGAAGAGGGTTGGAATTTGAGTCTTGGGGATTTGCTTGCTTCTGCGTTCTTCTTTTTAATTATGGCCACCATCGCCAGGGACTTCTTTATGGGGGGAGCTGTCAATCGGTGCGAAACAAAACCCTAAGACATAATATTCTTGACACAAAGCACAAGCTATAGTACATAGAGGCGCATAAGGATATACAGAGAACCGTGTTGACAAGTAATGTGAAGGCTGCCAGCGTGTTACTACGATTCCATGAACTGCGATTTACTGTGTAAAATTTTGGTCTGCAGTGGTGGGAGCGCGAGCGGCCTGAATCGCCTGTTGGGCAACAGCAGCTCTAAGAGAGCTCGCATTAAGCCAGACACTGTGAGTGGCCAGAAACTCGGGTTCTGGGCCTCCATATTGTAGGTTTGGATCAGGGTTTGGGGTTCAGCATTCCCGCCAAGGCTTGCACAATGCATTACGGTGCGTTTGTTTGTGGGCAGGTGAAAGTTCGTTTCGCTGACGTCGCGGGTACGTGGCTTTTCTAATGACATCATTCAAGATAATCAGGGTTAAGGCTTGGGGAGTTAGAGCGCAGGGACGTCTGAGATGTCAGCATACTCGAGTTGTGGGGTGTAATTTCCCAATCAGGTTTGCATGAGGCGAAGCGCGAGATAACAGAGTTTGTTTCCTTCCTAAAGAACCCTGCGGCATTTCAGAANGTTTGCATGAGGCGAAGCGCGAGATAACAGAGTTTGTTTCCTTCCTAAAGAACCCTGCGGCATTTCAGAAGATGGGTGCGAAGCTGCCTAAGGGAGCACTCTTAGTTGGACCCCCGGGTACCGGCAAAACTTTGCTCGCGAAGGCAAGTGAACTGTCTACCCCTGTACTAGGCAGTTGTTAGATGGTTGCCACTTTTGCAAAAATGTAGGGTTGAAGTTTAGAGGGCCTGTATGGTAGTTCTAGCATTGTCGAGTGGATCTTGTACCACCAGGATTCCTCCATCCGATGTTTCTATGCATTGTTTTACTCTTTTTCTTGTTTGGTGGGGTGTCTAGGCAGTTGCAGGAGAGGCTGGAGTTCCATTCTTCTCTATTAGCGGCTCAGATTTCGTCGAGTTGTTTGTCGGGGTCGGAGCATCGAGAGTCCGAGAACTCTTTGATGAAGCCAGGAAGGCGGCGCCTTGTCCGTCCAGGGTTCAGGGTCTATGTTCAGCTCGTGGATACTTGCAGCAGTACCCTGGTGACAGAGTTTTCCTCAAGTATGTAGTGTCAAAGCCTTTTGTGTCACGGGCTTTCTGCTTGGCCCATTTTGGGTGTGCTGTTCGCAGCTATCATATGGATAGACGAGATTGACAGCGTTGGTGCAAGCCGCAGCACTCAGTTCGCGAACAGCGAAAGAGAACAAACGCTGAATCAACTTCTTGTGGAGATGGATGGATTCTCACCGCATGAGTCTGTGGTCGTCTTGGCAGGTAATTTACACGCTTCATCTCTGCCACGCATGTGCATTGCAGGTGTGTGTGCGTGTTTGTATCTCTGTTTT